TTTTGGTCTGCGAAGCCACGAAACATTTTTGTGTTGTTGTTTTTTTGGGGGGGGGTGTTTTGGGTTTGCACGCCCCCGTGCCCGCCGCGGCCTCCCTCCCAGCACACCTCTCTCTGCCTCTCAAAACAGTGTTTCGTGGCTTCGCAGACAAAAAAAAACATACACAGCGTTTCCTTGCATCGGTGACGCCAAGCATTGCGTAGAGAGAGAGAGAGAGAGAGAGAGAAAAGAAGAGATAGAGAGAGAGAGAGAGAGAGAGACAAAAAAGAGAGAGAGAGGCAGAGAGAGACAGAGAGAGAGAGAGAGGCAGAGAGAGAGAGGGGGGAAAAAAAGGAAAAGAAGCAGTCGAGGATGAGGAGACGAAAAGGTATGATCTTGGGGGGGGGGGGGCGACCATACATATATATATATATATATACACCCCTACGTGCCTCAAAGTGACCCCCACCCTCTTGGTGGGTATGTGAACTGTGATGTGAGTGTGCTGTGTGGGTGGTCCTGTAGGTTCGTGATGTGTGTTTGTTCTGTGATGTGATGTGGGTACTGTGATGTGGTCGTGCTGTGATGTGATGTGGGTGCTGTGTTATGGTCTGTGATCGTGTGAAGTGTGTTATGTGCGTGTTGCCCGTGTATGGTTTTGCACTTCTTGTGGATGTGTTGTCAGGTTACGTAGGGTGTGTGGATTTGTGCTGTTTTGTTGTAGTTTTAACGTCAGTTTCTAGCCGCAGCTCCACATCGTCAGTACCCAACGCGCTATACCCCTTTATCTCTCATCTTCTACCAACACCACCTCCTCTGATGCAGCTTAGCCCACGCCGCAGTTTATGCAGGAGCACTGAATGGGACTCTTCACAGGGGGTGCGCAGCGTTCACGCCATCACTCTACTCATGTATCGCATTTGGTAAACACCATCACGGGAGACGCGCCTACCACCCACACAAAAAAACACGGAGTGGTCTGATGTGAATGAGTATGCTGTGAGTGGGTCTGATGTGAATGAGTATGCTGTGAGTGGGTCTGGGTGAGTATGTTGTACGCGCACATACATACATATACATACACATAATTACACACTTATACACATACAGATACATATATACATACGTACGTACGTACATACATACATACATGCATGCATGCAAACATACATGCATACATACATACAAACAGGGAGGGGGGTCACTGACAGGCACGGCGGGATATATATATATATATATATATACACATATATATATATATACACAGGCATGTATGTTCATCGATGGCGTGTATGAGCGTGCGCGCGTATGACATGCATGCACATAGTATCGCGCGCATGTGCACGCGCACGCACGCCGCCGGCGAACGAAACTCGAAGGACCAAGGTGCATGGCGCGAAGCGCCACTGCCGTCTTGTAGTATATACATGTATATACACATACACATGTGATATGTACACGTATACACTTATAAACGTATTTCCGGAACTCCATGTTTACATATAGCTGTACGTATATGCATGTGTGCATGCTGCCAACACACGAGAAACATATACATGTATCTGGGTGTGTTATATACGCACCAGTCCTGAAACATCACATGCGGAAGGGTATCGATAACCGATCACCCAGGCTTGCGGGGGTGGGTGTAATCTAAATGTTTCTACTGAGGCTAACGCGCCAAATCCCCCCACAGGCTCCACGAGGCAGAGGGAAAGCTACGTGGCTGAGTTCGAGCTCGAGCGCGAGCACGATGAGGACTCAGAGTCTCTTGAGCGCAGGACCGCAGCTCAAGGAGTTGTCAAATTGCGACTTTCGCCAGCCTCAGCTATCTAACGACAGCTGCTTGGGCAGACCTAGCTGGCCCAGAATCTTGGCGATGCCGCCACTTGCATTCGACATCTCTCGCCAGACGTGACAACCACGTTGCTTCGCGACGCCTGTACGTGGCCAGGCCCTCCGACCTCCACGAGAACCACCGCACGAACGGAGAACCTGCTGCTGAACTAGACACACGCCAACCCGGCGATCGAGAACTGCTACACGCAGAAGGGCAGAGGAAAACACCAGCCACATTGGAATGGTATCTGCATCACGGCATCAATCGGCATAATCATATAACTGCAAACGTGCGTGCTTTAATCGATATGCAAGTGCACGCGCGCATGTATGCGTGTGTACTGGAACCGTGGAGGCCATGTGCGCGCGCTTCAATCGTGGTACGCGTTGAAACGATCAGGCCGTCGGCTGGACGTCCGCTGGGACGTCCATACAGGTCCCTGACTCCATCCAATCTATGCCTCTGCCCCTGGTGACACCAAACGGCGCGGCATCGAGCAAGCGGCCAGGCACCTGTCTTCAAAACGGGGCACCTAGTTGCTGGCTTAGGCCTCTCAGCGAATCGCACTGCAACGTCTATGGAAGCATTGCGTCCAAGAGCAACCCAAGGAAACTGGAGAACCCGAACACGACACAAAGATACACGTTCGGATCTTCGCGGGCCGTCTCCCCGCGCAGGCGCTGCACCCCCTCGCCGCAGCCCTGGGCGGCGCCTTCGGCGCCGCGGGCGTCCGACATGCTATGGTTACGTGGGCGACGAAACGAGACGGGTCTTACACGAGATAACGCAGCGACCTTACGCGGCGGCTTACGCGGGCCGCCATCGCGGCCCGCTGCACCAAAAGCGAAGGTGCCTACGCGCGACCTAGCGCGGACAGCCTATACGCGCCAATGTTGACGAAAACGATTCCGTTTTGCTGTGTCGCTCGTGTGGTGTTTTGGCTCTCCCACAGCGGCCCAATGTCATCAACGGGCAAAGGCGATGCTGGGAATACGCGAGCTCCCAGGCAATGCCAAAGGGGGCATCCACTAGGGAGTCCGTCGCCTCCTGCGGAGGGAGAGGCAACAGCTTACACCCCCCAAACAAAAAACACCCCAAACCCGCAACAACGTCCGATACGATACCCTCTGATCCCCGATTTTCTCTACGCTTAGGTTGGGCATGTCCTCCTACAGGCGGTTTTTGGACGAAAGCCCCCCCCAAAAATCACATGATCCTGGCGAAGGGCCCAACCATATGCAGTTGTGGGTGCAGCAATTGTGAATATCTTCTTCGGTGAAGCTCCCTATGGGGCCACGAAGCGCTGCACTGGGTGGGGGGAACGCATGCGGGCGGTAGCACTGGGACCGTCGGTGGAGCTCCCTATGGGGCCACGAAGCGCTGTATTGGGCGGCTGCAACGCGCAAGGCAAACAAAAAAACTTTACAGGTAAAAACGTTTTTTTTTGCCTGTGGCGCTTTTTTTTTTGCCTTGCGCGTCGGGTCCCCGGGGCACTGGCCGGGGCGCGCGCGCCGGGCGGGGGGGTGCTCCTCCGCTTCCCTCGGCCTGGCTCACAAATGGAATCGCGACCAGGGTTTTTGCCTGTGGCGCTCCTGGGGCCCAAAGAAGGAATCGCGACCTGGGTTTTTGCCTGTGGCGCTTTTTTTTTGCCTTGCGCGTCGGGCCTCCGGGTCTTGCCGAGAGCGCGCGCGTGTAGAGGAAGTGCTCCCCTGCTCTCCTCCGCGTCAGTGGCGCTCCTGAAGCCCAAAAAAGGAATCGTGACCTGGGTTTTTGCCTATGGCGTTCTGGGGCCCAAAGAAGGAATCGTGACCTGGGTTTTTGGCCTGTGGCGTTTTACTTTCGCCTGCGCGCTCGGGCCGGCCGGACGGAGGTGCCATGCGGACGCAGCCACTGGAGCCTTCGGTGGAGCTTCATATGGGGCTACGACCCGTGTGAGGGGTGTGAGGAGATATGGTCGGGCATGCGGTGAAAGTGCTGACGATGACGGGAGGGGGGAGGAGGAGGAGGAGGAGAGGAGGAGGAACGCGGGGGACTGAACGCTGGAGGCCGATGCGAAGTACTAAAGATGAGGAGGTGTATTAGGAGAGGGACGACGACAAAGAGGACGAGAAGGAAGAGAAGGAGGAGGAGCAAGAGGGGGGACGCAGGAGGAGGTGGCAGAGGAGAAGGAGGCACAGAACGAGGACGAAGAGGAGGCAGGAAAATCAGCTGCGTGGGCTGATTCTCTATCCTATCCTTTGCTATCCCCCCCTTTCGTTCCCCCCGACCGTGGGCGGTCAGGAGTGCCCCGAGGGCGCTAGAGTTCAGTCGGGCCTGTCCCTCTACAGGGGGGATATCCAGGAATAGTAAAAAACTTTGGAGACGATCCAGGTGAATCCACGAATACCCAGGAATTGTCTTTCGTTGCCCCCCGACGGCAGCTGCCTCCCCGAGCGTGGCGAGAAGGCTCGGGGCGCCCGCCCCCCGCGCACGGGCCCCCCACGGCTCACGAGGGGCGCCCGCGAGTCGAGGCGCGGGGGCGCCACCGTGGGTTGTAACAACACCCATCCGAGCACACGAGAATGAGAGGAGGCGGAGGAGGAGGAGGAGGAGGAGGAGGCGGAAGAGGAGGACGAGGAGTAGGAGGAAGGGGATGATGATGAGGAGGAGGAGGAGGAGGAGGAGGGGAAGGGGGAGGAGGGGCAGTGATGCAACACCACGGGCAGTGGTGCCGTACACCGGCATTCCAGGCTTCTGCTGGGCGGGCAGGAACATACGTACAGCGGGTCGGGTCGGGCGGGCGGGACACTAAAGTCGGATGCGTATACAGCATGACACATGAGAACCCTAACGGCCGGAACGGGACGGGCGGACCCTAACGGGCGGGTCGGGCGGGCGGACCCTAACGGGCGGGTCGGGTCGGGCGGGCGGGA